GGTAACTAAAAGGCAGCTCTTTTCTCACAGACTGATTAGAGGAGACAGATTTTTAACCATCACTGAAGCTGAGAAAAATGGCTGTTGGCTCTGCTAATTCCCAAATGCCACATCATCTGCTAAGGTGGGCTCAGATGAGCTTCCCTGCCTTTGTTTCTCCATTAGTCCCACTACAGCTCCAGCAAAAGCTTTCAGGCATCTGCTTTCCAGAACCTGGATCCTATGCCAGGTACCACCACCGCCCCAAGAGCTGCAGATAGAAAATCCATTAGTCACATCAAGAAAAAGATGATCATTTTCCTTCCAATTCACAGATTACTTCTGAGATGCAGAGAGAACAGCACAGCAGAGTTCAGAAAGGCACAGCTACTCCTCCTTTCAAGAACAGACACAGCTCCTTCAGAGGCTTCCACAAATAGACAGGGATCAAAAAGCACTGTGAGAACAGGCACCACAAAACACTGATGTCTTTTTCTCTGTGCTTCTTCCACACGTTGCTGTAGAAAGGGATTTTTCACAGATGGAGAAGAGAAAGAAGAGAAATGGTGGAGCTCAAGATCTTCAGGACAGTGAGGAAGGATCAGACACCAAGCACACTGCACTATGAAAGAATCCCAGAACACTTTTGGTGGGAAAGGACCTGTCACCAACAAAGATGCTAAACAGTGCTAATCCCGTGACTGACCCCTGAGGAACACAGGTAAAGACTGAGGCAAAGAAAGTCATTGAGTGCCTCAGCCTTCTCTGTATCCTGGGTAACTAGGCCTCCTGTTTCCTTCTGGAGAGACACCATACTTTTCCTGGTCCTCCTTTACTGATACAGAAACTTTTCTTGCTGGCCCTGATGAGTGGCCAGGTTTAATTCTATAAGGGCTTTGGGTTTCCTAACCTGATCTCTGGCTGCTCAGGAATTTCTCTGCATTCCTCCCGGGCAACCTGCCTCCACTTCCACCCTTCCATTTTGGGTTTGAGGTTGTCCAGGAGTTCCTTGTTCACCCATGCAGCCCTCCTGGTGGTTCCTGCCTGACTACCCCTTTGTTGGGATGCATTGCTGATATTCCACTTCCAGATGCGAAGTCTATGTTTAGAAATTCATGGAAAATTCATACAGCGCAAACAGAACCCCAAATATCTGAAGGCCCAGCCACAGGAAGACCACAAGGTTAGGAAATTACCCAGAGGGGAGGAGATAAGCTTTTAAACCACCAGTGCAACAAGGTAATAGCTCTCTGGAGTTTGTGAATCCCTTAGAAACAATAGAGTTTCAGGCAGCACAGGAATGAGCCTGTGCCTGCTGTGAGCAGTGCTACACCAGCCCCATGTCACACACGGAGCACCTGCAGCTCCCCAGTTATCTAATGAGACTCATCACACTGCTCAGCAGTGCCTGTACCAACATTGTTATGCAACAGAACAGCTCATTAGTGCTTTCCAGTTATATCTCTAAAGTTATTACACTGCACTTATCAGTGGGTTTTCAATATTAAAAATCTCAGCTCCTGATGAAAGAAAAAAAAAAAAAAAAAACAAATGCAACTGGTTCTAATTTCCTTCAATAACTTATGCAGAAATGCTGGCAGAGGGACAACAAGGAATTCTTTTGCTTTCTGTACACGTTGGTGCCCTTCAGATCTGTTCGCCAATGAAAGCTGCAGTAGAAACTCACATGACAAACAAATATTTCTGTTGCAGTGCCCCAGCATTCACTTCTGCCCACTCAATTAAAAAAAAAAAAATCCATTTATTAAGAAGTAGAGATGTTCCTGTGCAAAGCAGAACTAAAGAAGTTATTAATATTTAAATATGTGTCACATTTACTGTGAGCTACCCCAATGTAGGTGATGTGTCCACTCCCTGAGGTGACCCAGAAATCAGAATTCCTTAAACTTGAGGTATTAGGACTGATGAAAATCACCTGATAAAACCAGATCAAAAGCAGAAACACACTTCCCCACACACAATAGCTCTATCTAATCCCTCAGCACTCAGAGCTCTCCCTGCCTTTTTAGCAAAGATTAGCATATTTAAAACTGCTAAACTCTGTATAATCTTCAATCATTGAGAAAAGTAATTCAATTAAGGAGAGTGTTGGTGAAGTTGCCTTCTCCTAGCCAGCTAGTGCTGTATCCCTCTACAAGTTAATAAAAATAGAGATGGAAAGAGAGGTGAAGATTCTTCTGGCTGGGCACAGATGGTGCTGCAGGCTCATGATGCACCTACAGCACATGCAGCAAGTCCCCAGGCTGGGCCTGGGAGGGGCGTGGGGGACATAAGCCCCAGAGACAAGAAGATTTGGGGGACTGAGGAGCGAGGAAAATCAGCATCTTAGCAGGGGAAAGAGCATCTGCAGCTAGTGCTGAACGGCACGAGGCAGAGACACTGCAGTCCATGCGAATGCTGAGGGATACAGCACTGAACTCCCACAACATGGCTGAGGAGAGCAGGGGAAACCACACACTGCATCCTCTAGGCAATCCCACTCTCAAATGGAAATAAAATGCCCAGGGATGCTTCTAGATCTCCCATGGAAGGGCTGGAAAGCCTGCCCAGTAAGGATCTGCAGCTCAGATTTCTTCAGCCATAAAACACACATTTATTGGCGAGGATGTGTACAGCCAGTACAGGTCTGCCACCAGCCAGCTCTGGATGCTGAGGCAGCTAATGGCCATCACAGCCCTTTGTACCATTTCACTTGTCATCCTGAAGTCCCTGGATGTAAATGAAACCAGAGCACTCAGCCTCCCCACCGGAGCCAGAGCATATCTTTAATTATGGCCTTCCAACAGGGCAGAGAACCTTTCATCTGAACAGGAAGCAAATGCTGCAATCCAGCGCAACAGTTGCACAAAGATCTCCTGGGTTGGAAAGCTGCTATCCTAAAAACTTTTATTTCTGCATCTCCCTTAACCTTCCAGACAAAGAACAAGGTGTGAGCACAGCCCACTCCAGCTCCCTTTTTGCAACACCGGATCCCTCCGCAGTTTTCTCCAAATATCACGAGGGCGTTTATTCCTCCAGGAGCCACTTGGAATGAGAGCTCTGCATCCTTCGGGCAGTTAAAAAAATAAAAAAATGACAGGGAATGACATCATGACAAAGACATCTGAAGAGCTTCAATCCAGGAAGGGATGTGTCTCCATCGGAGGCAGACTCACAGAGCACCGTGTCGGAGCATGCCCACGCTGCAGCACCCGCGGGATGCGCGGACACGGAGCTGGCACAGAGTCATCGCCCAGCATCCCAGACAAAGGCAAAGGCAGGGCTGGAGCCCACCCTGCATTCCAGTCAGCTCCCACCCATCCCTAAGCCCCAGCCCAGGCAGCAGTTGCAGGGCTGGGAATATTCAGACAGGAGGATTTCGCTGTGCTGTACCCACTGAAGCCCTTCTCTCCTCCCTAGGTTTGATGCTGTGACTGGGAATTATTTAAAACCTTCCAGTATAAAAACAGATGATTAGCTGAGAGGGGGAAAAAAAAATCTTAGAGGAAGCAGATATCTGACATTATGTCTGCTAGAGGAGACAAGCAATCCACGTGTGAACGAAGAGCTGCTCTGCACCAGGTGCCACAACCTTCAATGGAGGTATTTGAAAAGCTTCATGATATTGAAGCTCAGAAATACAAGTAAACAAGCCAAGGATTTTGCAAATGCATTGCTAATATTTCAGATTTCTGTTATCAAATACCTGGGGAAAAAAACAACCAAACAACCAACAAAAAAAAAAAAAAAAAAAAAAAAAAAAAAAAAAAAAAAAAAANAAAAAAAAAAAAAAAAAAAAAAAAAAAAAAAAAAAAAAAAAAAAAAAAAAAAAAAAAAAAAAAAAAAAAAAAAAAAAAAAAAAAAAAAACCACCTGAAAAAAACCCCAGCATTTTCTACACATGACCCTCATCCAAAATCCTCATAAAATGGCTGGCCAAATAGCACCTTACTTAAGCAGATCAGATGACTTACCCAAAAAATAATAAATAATCGAGTTGCACTTGAGGTCCCCAAATCCCTAATATGAGAAGAGCTGTTTCGACCCCAAAAATACAAATTAAAAAGATAATGATTCAAGGAAGAGACTAAAGGAAATTGCCAATGTACAGATAAATAATTTCAACAGCAGCCTTATCACCAAGCTCATCCACATCTGAGTGAGGAAACACCAAGATACAAGTAATTTGGCCAAAAAATAAAACCAACTACTATTTCATCATCTCCTACCACACAGACCAAAGGTGGCTGAGGGAGCAAATACCCCGCCCCAAGACAGAAAATATTTTGCACCTATTCATTATGTCATAGATCACTCAGTATCTACCCAGGATTACACAAAGCATCTCATAAAGGAGCTTTTTTTTTTTTTTTTTTTCAGAAAATTCTTCCAAGGGAAAGATTTGGAATGCAGTATTGGAGATAGAGGCCTTCCGCTAAGGAAGGAGGAGACATTGTTTAGGTTGTTTTTTTTTTTTTCTTTCATTCCAAAGACAGGGAAGAAAACCTCATTGACTGAATTAAATATTCAGAGCATCGCTCTGCCAAGACATAGCTCCATTATGGAAAAACGCTGTATTTACATAGTTAACACTATGGATTGAGACTCGTGCCCCCCAAAAACCAGAGGAGCTGGGTCCGAATGAATCAGCAACTGTTTCTGCAGACGGGCTTTGGTGGGTGGGGGGGTTAAACCAGAGCTGAACCCCCGGAGCCCCACGAGGGTGGGCGAGTGGGTGTAAGGGACGCTCATGACAGAGGCTGGGTGTCGTGAGGAGGGGGATCCCATCAGACCCCATGAGGGTGGGTGGGTGTCGGGAAGGGTGAGGAGGAGGATCCCATCAGACCCCATAAGAGTGGGTGGGTGTCGGGGAGAACGAGGAGGGGATCCCATAAGACCCCATACGAGGGGGTGGGTGTCACAGACGCTCATGAGGATGTCGGGGAGGATGAGGAGGGGGTCCCTTGGTGTCCCCACGGGTGTCGGGGCGGGGGTCCCGGCCCGCGGCGGGCGGTGACTCACCGCTCTGCTCGCCCAGGAACACCAGCTTGAATTTCCGCAGCGGGTTCCCGAAGTCCCCGCCCGACGACATGATGGAGGAGCCGCCGCCGCCGCCCCGCGCTCGCTCCGCTCCCCGCGGCGGCACCCGCGACCACGACCGCTTCTCTCCGCCTGCTCCTTCTCCTCGTCCTCCTCCTCCCCGGCGAAGGCTGCTGAGCCCCGGTGAGGTGCCGGTGCGGGTGCGGGTGCCGGTGTCGGTGCCGCCGCTTCGCCCCCCCGCGCTCCCGGAGCCGGCGCTCCGCCTGCCCCGCGCACGCGCTGTGCGCGCTTCCCTCTGCTACGGGCCGGGAATGGTGCGGCTTGGGAGGGACGGGGCAGTCATCCCGTTCCACCCCTGCCGTGGGCAGGAACGCTTTCCAGCAGCACAGGCTGCTCCCATCCCCAGTCCCGCCTGGCCTTGGACACTGCCAGGGATCCAGGGGCAGCCGCAGCTTCCCGGGGCACCCTGTGCCAGGGCCTGCCCACCCTCCAGTCCTCAGCACCAGGGTAAGGGCTGCAAGGTGTACCCGGCTCTCACTCTCGGCAAGACCGTGAGGGGGGAGCCAGCAAAGGCCTTAAAAGCAAAGGCTTCATGAATCTAACTTGGCACAGATGCTTCTTTCAGAGGAGCGTCTCTGAGAAGCAGATCCCTCACAGCAGGGTGATGTTTCCCAGGAATGTCAGTGATCCCCACTGACATCCTTCAACAGTGGCTCAGGGCCCTCCACCTTTTCCTTTCACTATTTTTTGCCCATTTTCCCCCACTCTGCCCTCAGTCAGTGTTTTAGGAGGTTTCCAGGTGCGTCGTGGCCCCTCCTTTTTAAACCTTGACTGGGAGATTGTTCCAGAGTATTGCTGCTCTGATAGTCAGGGAAATGGCATCTGCTACATGTTTAGTTTTGAAAGCCTTTCTAATTTTGATTGTTTCATTTATACTCCTTCAATGTGATTAACTGTTTCACCAAGGGCTGGGGTTTTTTCACCCAGGCATTGAAGTATAAGAGAACTAAAAAAGGAAAATGTGTTTTTAATCAGGTGATTAAATTTAAACAATTTAATAAATTTAAAATAAATTTAAATTTATTAAATTTTAATAGATATGAGCAGAATCTCCATCCAGCTCTGCACCTGGCATCTGGGAGTGCTTCCACACAGGTTGTGTGGCTGCTCTTCTGCAGGAGGAAAGGGAATCCACCCTGGCCTGACGTGATCTCAAATATTAAATGCAGATATTGTCCTTGCTTTTGTGTCAGGGTTCATTCCAGGATCCTTCCCATGGTTCCCAGGGAAAACAACAACTGAAGGCAGAGGAGGAGACGTGCAAAACAGAGGTTTTCTTCTAAGGTCTGTTTGAACTTGATTGTTTTCACTGTTTCTGTTTGAACTTGATTGTTTTCATCACTGGATGAATCTGAAAAGAAGTGGACGCAAGGCATGGGAAGCCTTAAAAAGGAGAAAGAGCTTCCTGGAGTTTTTAGTGTGATGCAGAAAAAGGAATTCATCGAGTCCCCTCAGCTTCTCCATGTAAATGTCACAAAAAGGTTTGGAAGTTGTGCTCCTGCAGCAGGGATATGAAATGATGCAAAAGGTAAAGAAAGGCACATTCCAGTTGGAAATAAGGACTGTGTCCTAACGTGCTCAGCCACCAGAACAAGCTGCCAAGAGCAGCACTATCTTTGTATCAGGGGAAATCGAGAGGAACCTTTGTGAGAAAGATGCTTTCACAGAGAGAGGAGTGATCTGCTTCCATAAAGCCATAAGTCACTGGAAACCTATTGACTATGACGTGCAGGAGAGTGAATTCCATTATTTAACAATCCCTTTTGGCCTTAAAATGTATCCATCTATGATAGATGTCAGAGATGTTCCTCAGTGGAGAGGTGGACTTGTTTCTCATGCAGACACAGAGGACACCAACAATCCCTGCAATCTGCTACTGCCCTACCCCAAACGCAGCCTGGGGCAACGCTCCCTCCTCAGCCACATTTTGGGGGTGGAGGAAAGGTGAGTCCCCAGGAGGGGCAGAGAGAATTAAGGGGTGCAGTCCCACTCGATGGGCACACAGAATTGGAGGGCAGGGAATTAGGAGTCATCCTCAACCCGCTCTTAATCGTGGTGCTCATTCCAGCTTCCCCTACAAAGCAGGACCAGCGAGTCCCCTCCAGTCACAGCAGCCCCTCCTCAATTTCCTCCAGGGCTTCAAGGATCATGGGAGGAGAAGCGCAGGTTTCGTGGAGTTTTAGTGCAGCCTTAAACCAGCTCAGATTCCCACATGATCCTTACACAAGCCTCATTCCCAAGCTGGCCCTGCCTGGAGCTCACCAGGTGGGATCAAAGGGCAGGAAAACATCCACGTGGGCAGTTCTGTCATGTCCTGGGATCGCAAGGAAAACACAGCTTGGAGTTTGGAACACATGTCCCCTTGCACTTTGGAGCAAAGAGCAAAGGTGCTGTGGATCCCCTCTGCTCTCTCCATGTGCTGGGTAGGTAGACACACAAAACTTGTCCTTTCACAGTCTTTCTGTCCCCTCCATGCAGCAGCACAGAAGGGGTGGACAGCGAGGGTGTCCAGTGTGTGTCCGGAGCTCCAGGCACTGAGAAATGCAGGACAGGGCTGGGTCACAGAGCAGGACATGAACTTGCCACGTGGATGAGCTGCAGGGAGAAAGTCCATTGGGATCTCTGACAGCTCCAGCAAGAGAAATTGGAGCAGCCATCAGTCAGCAGATTGGGAAATCCTGACTCAAAATCCATCTCCCAGGCAGGGAACAGCTCCAAGAACAGGGATCAGGGATGTGGGCTCCAGAGTGAGCACCTCCTATGGAAGAAGGGGGAAACTGGAGCCAGACTGGAGAGAAGGGAGCCAGGAGGAGGGAAGGGAGCCTGTGGGAAATTAAGATTTGTGTGGAAGAGGCAGTGGGACACAGGGTGGGTTTTCCTGAGCCAGCTCCAGACTGTCAGGCCCAGCGGGCAGAGGACCACAGACCCATCTCTTCCCAGGCAGGCCCCCTGCCCACCTGCTCTCCCACTGGGAATTCAGAGAGGAGGTCCCCGCCAGCCCAGCCTTCCTATGCTTAGGATTTCGTGATTGTAAATATGTGAATTTTTTAAGCGATCCTGAAGGCCTAAGTAAATGGCCGCCGGCACGGCCCACTCAAGGTGGCCGCTGCAGCGCGCTAGGGCGGGGCCAGCGCCGCCCTGCGACGTGGCCATGCCGCGCCCTGATGGACGTGGCTGGGGGCCAATCAGTGCGCGAGGACGGGCGAGGGGCGGGGCGCGCGGTGATAGGCGCAGGGCAGGCTGCGCTGTGCGGCCGCTGCCGCGTGGCGGCTCTGCCCGCCCTGTGTGGGCAGGCGGGAGCGAGGTGTCCGCCATTACTGCCCGCATCCCCGCGTCCTCCCCGCTGCCTCCTTCAGGACGCCGGGGCCCCGCAAGTTCCGCGGGTTGTCCAGAAGTCGTTGCCTACGGGAGTTCTCGGTGGGCGGAGCGGGGAGCTGTCCGAAAATTAGAATTCCCGGGAGGCATCGGTGGGCGGAACTCGAGGAGGGAGCCGCGAGACGGGGGGAGCTGAATGGAGGCGTACCGGGGCACTGAGGGGGAGCGCTTTGAACAACGGACCGCGGTCCCGGATGATGGCGGCGGTGCCGAAGGTAGCGGGATGGCCACGGGGAAGGGGAGTGGGGACTGGGAAGGACGCGGGGACAGAGGAAAGGGAAGGAACAGGAACGGAGAGTAGCCTTGGTCCTTGGGACAACTGAGGCAGCCCCAGCCTTGCTGCTGGAGGTCCTGATCCGACCCTGGTTTGGTTTCGGAAGTGTGGGGGTGATCCTGAGGGGTCCAGACCTACAGATCGTGCCCTGGGTCTGTCTTGGTGCTCCTGGACCAGGGTCTGAGGCACCCACGCACCCCTGCTGCCCATGCTCACACACCCAACTCGATTACAACCCTCGACTCCGTGATCCCTGTCGGATCCCTGTCCCTCTGCACTGGGACATTTGGGACATCGGTGTTTATCCCCCTGGTTTGGCGACAGCAAAGCTCTTTGCCGGATGGATGAGTGTTTCCCTCCATCCGTTTGGAGGCGGGACAAGCACGAGGGTTGTTCATGAACTATCCAACCATGTCCCTGGGAGCGGTGTCTAAACACTCCTGGAGCTGTCAGGCTGGAGCTGTGCCTGTTCCCTGGGGAGCCTGGGCAGTGCCCAGCACCCCTAAGAGAAGAACCTTTCCCTGATACCCATCCTAAACCTCCCCTGGCACAGCTCCAGCCCTTCCCGCGTGTCCTATCCTAGAGGTGTAGTAACCTGGTGAAAATTCCCAGCAGATCTTCCACCCTGCCATGTTTTAACCCTTGCAGGTGCTGTGCTTGGAGAAGGGAGTGTTGCTCAGGCAGGTGTTGGCCCTCAGCAGGTGAGAAAACATATGTGACCAAAAAATTGCCTTTTTTTTTCTTTTTTACTTTTTTTTTTTGCCAAATCTTCTAATAGTGGAGGTAAGGCTTTGAGCTGGGAGCTGAAGGCTGTAGGATGGGGATAAGGCCACACATTTGCAAAAGGACATTGGCCACATGTTTTTCATAAGTGAGAGAAATCAGAGTTATTAATTATTACATTGTTTCCTACAGACTTTTTAATCATTATTTTGTTTCCTACAGAGCAGCAACAGCCAGAGAAAACCGTCTGTGTGCTGCAGGTAAGGTCTGTTGTCAACCTAGCTTTGAGGCAAAAAATTCACTTCCCTCCAATAAATATTAAACATTGGAGCATGTTTGTTTTGTTTTGGGGTGTTTTTTTTAGCCAGCTTTTGGCTGGTTAAATAACCAGAGCAGGTGCTCTGCCGCTTCCATATAGTTTTTTTCCAATATTTTCTTATTTTTGCCCTCTTCTTGGCTAAGCAGGTGGCACCAGCTGTGGTGTAATGTGACCATAATTTGGGGCTCTCAGAGCACCTGTAGATGTTTGTTTGCAGCTGGAAACGCATTTGCTCTGCTTTCATTTTCAGGTGATGCAGTCCTGGGTTGCCACAGATCCTACAGGTCCCGACCTACCCACGGAATTGGGAAGTTTAAATACCTGCTCCCAAAGGAGGTAGGCAGGAGTTCCCTCTGTGCTTGCTTTCCCAAGGTAATCCTGAAACATGTGGATGTCCCATCTCAGAAAGCCAGGCTGGATGGGGTTTGGAGAAACCTGGAATAGTGGAAGGTGTGCCTGCCCATGGAAGGGGGTTGGAATAGCATGAGGTTTAAGGTTCCTTCCAATCCTAACTATTCCATGACTCCATGAAGTACTCACTCACCACACTGCAGAAATACTTC